CAAGCTAGATCTTTTGGTTGGAAATCTTCAAATCTATGAGGCACGCTTGAATTTCAAAAAGAAATTTAAAAAAAATGATATTGCTTTTAGTAGTGTTTATAAAGTCGGAAAAGATTCCGATGAGGATTGTGAAGTTGATTCCAAGATTACGAATGTTTTTGTAAAACAATTTAAAAAGTCTTTTTCTGAAAAAGAAGCCTAATCTTTTAGAATCAACTCATAAATCCAAAGACAAAGATAAGCTCAAAATTGATTTTACAAACAAGAAAAAGAAATGAAAAATACAAGGGAACTCTCAAAGAGTCTAATGCTATGAGTGCCAAGGATTTGGCTACTTTTCCCAAGAATTTCCTAATCGATTTAGGAAGAAAAAAGCCTTCGCAATCACTTGGGATGATGAATCAGAGTCTGATAAGGATGAAAGTGACAACGAGGCTCAAGGACAAGAGGGGCACGAACAATTTCTTGCTTTCATTGAGGTTTTTGGAGCTGAAGGACTAATGGAGTATTCCAAGAGGCCTGTTGAGAATGTCACTAATGATGAATCCTCGGGGAGTGATGATGATGTAGATGGTGAAGAGTTTCAACAAGCTTATGAAAAGTTGTACAAGGAATCTCTTCATTTATCTAAATTGAATGACAAACTCACTACGAAACTCAAAGCTTGTGAAAGTGAGAATGTCAAACTAAATAAGGAGATTTCCTAGGATAATGATGCCATCAAGATCTCCAATGATCGACAAGCTCTTTGTGCAAAACTCTTGACTTATGAAACAAAGAGGAATGAGTTACAACAAATCTATGTAACATATGAAGAAAAGATTGAAACTCTCAAGATGTCTCAGTTGCCTTAGAAGAGCTAGTTATCAAGAAAGAGGAAGAGCTCAAGCGTGCTATGGCTACCATTGGTTTTTTTGGAACAAAGGATCAAAGACTTTGGACAATATCATTGGATCTCAACAAATGTGTTATGACAAGAGTGGCATTGGCTCAAAGAGCAAAAATAGAGTGCATCTACATCTCATGATACAAGAACTCAAGGAAAGAAAGAGCAAATGATTCAACATGAGGATGGACTTCTCAATCTTCCTAGAGTTGGTAAAGTCAAAGAAAAAACGGTACTTTTATTTGTCATCATGATGGTATGTATGGTCATATTTGCCCTTATTGTTATAAGTTGTGTGAGAGAGTGTCTCATAGTAGTAGAAGAGATTCTAATACCTCGTGGGGTAGGAGACATTTCATTAGTCGTAATAAGGTTAAGGGTCAAATTAGACATCATTGTTTTGATTCGCTTGAGACCAAACATGCTGCGAGTTTTGCAGATCATGGCACCAATAGCGATTTTGCAAATCATGGCACTAATAGCTGTTTTGCAGATTTTGACCTTGAGAAAGCTATCTTAATTGGTTGTAATGGGTTGGGGTGATTAGGATTTTATTTGTTAGGTGTGTTTTGTCACATAATTGCCAAATGAGGAGATTATTAGGTTTTTGTAATTGGCATTCCCGTTTGACAAACTCCTTTCAGTTGTAATTTTATTCGATCTTTTGTTTTAGTGAGGCTATGAGTGTTTAAATGCGAATATAACCTAAATTGTGCTCTTGATTTCCACTTCACTGACTATGTATAGGGATCGAGTTGCCCGATCAGCTCGTGGGGGTCTAAGGAACAACACCTAGGTGGGGTGGAGGGCAAGCGCCCCCGAAGCCAATGTGCTTTGACCGCTTGACCAGTCATTTGTACGTTCGAGCAGAGAAGAGGAGCATCCAATATCTTTGTCTGTAAATTGAACTTTTATGAAGACAGTTTTACCACTTGAGCGGTGAATATTGGACTCGAGCAGTCAGCCTATATGTTTTGCACCGCCTTTACTCATATCATCCGAGCGGTGAAGTGTGTGCTCTTGCGGTCTTTACAATTTAGTTTACTATAAAGTGCGCAGTTTGCTACTTTTAGGGTTTAAACCGTCTAGAATGTTAGAGAGATAGAAAAGTGTTTTCTATTGGAGGCTGTTTTATATAAGTTTCCTTGGTGTATAGAAGGTGATCAATTGATCAACAAACTATAAATTGTCAAACATCAAGGTTTGTTCTTATTATTTCGTTCACAAAAGAGAGAGGTGTTCTTCGGTGGATTCCAAGAAACTTTAACCTGAAGATTTGGTGGATTTCGGAGTGGCTCATCATCATGGATTTGACATCGGCGTTGTGGATTGACCATTGGGCAAGACAATTCCGAGGTGAAGATGGCGGTGGAAAAGGTACATCAGGATCAGTTCAATTTGGGCATGGATTTTCTAGGTAATTGAGAGTGCACTTGTGTAATTCCTTTCTGTCTTCTTGATGGATTGTGTTGTGGCTTTGGCCCATGATTTTTTTATCACAATTAACGCCGCTCCAATTGTGGTTTTTTCCACGTTAAATTAGTATGTCGATTTGTCTTTGATTGTTTGATTGGTATTGTTATTCATTGTTTAAAATTGAAACATAATCACAAATTCATATCTCGGGGATTTTATTTTTTTTTTTTTTTTTTCTCTCTCTCCAGAAAACAAGTATTGAAAGTGGTTAGAATGGCCAGATGGTTCATGGTGTGCCCTAGTTATGGTATTTGTGTGAGCATGTATGAACCTTAACTTGGCATGGCAGATATTCTGGTTTCTTAACGAATTTTGGTTATGGAATAAGGACGGCAATAAAGTTCTCACACATGGAGAGTATCCTTGGAAGATCATTCCCTTAGGGTAGATCAATGATGTTGCGGCTCGAGTATGTAACTCAAGACGTAGGCATCCTTGGTATTTACTACGATTGTTTTTTTAATGTTACCAAGAGAATCCAAATAGCTTATGACCAGTGTTAATGGTTGGGTAAGAATTGCACTCCATGAGGAGTTGCCTAGAGCTAACTTAGTTAACTAAATACTAAAGAGACTGAAACTTACTTATGTTTTTAGATTGTTTACCTTCCATTGTGTGTTCTTGTTTACTTTTATTTGTCATCATTTGTATGGTTATATTGCTTGTCTCTATGTGTACTTGTATTATATCGGAATGGGTAGTGTTGGATAGATTGTTCCTGTTGGATTTCGCAGCTCATGGTGTTTTATGCTAGGTATAGGAAATGAAGAAGGAGTTGGTGAGGATTACACAAGCGATGACCAGCCCTATGAGCCGTGGTTGACTTAAAGTTGTTAATAGCTAGTTTTTCCCTTAGCTTTATTTACTTTTTACTTCTTTTTTTTTTTTGAATTTAGCATGCATAATTGTTGTACTTGGGGGCTTACTTTTTTAGCCAATTAGCCAAAAAGTTACTAAATTAGCCAAAAAGCCAACAACTCATACCAAAAAGTCAAAGATTCTCTTTTCTCTCTACTTTTTGCACATCTTTTCGTAATTAGCCAAAAAGTCATCCCAAACATACAAGTTTTTTTTACCTACCTTTTTAGCCAAATAGTCAAAAAGTTACTAAATTAGCCTGTTCCCAAACGAGGCCTTAGTTTTTTTATGTAACCGGCTGATCTGGAAGTTTAACTTCAATTTTTAGATTTTGAGTCAATGGTATATTAATTTAATTTCAAATGATTAAGGTTTATTTATGTTCGAAGACTTCCTTTTATATCAAGGTTAATTTTGAGATGATATTATTTTATGGATTATCTTTAATCTTACATTACTAGTGACTTAAAACTTAATGATATCCTAAAAATGTCGGGGCATCACATATGATACACACTTTTTTTTTTTTTAAATGTGTATTATAAAATTTCCCAATGGGTTCTCCACTGTTATCCTTAACACATTTTTTATTATTTATTTATTATATTTGATTCATATAAGATATTACAATGAAACCCAATGAATTACAATCATAGTAATAAAGATCAAATACAACACAATTTTTTTACAAAGAAATTCCCAAAGTGGGAGAGAAAGTTCCAATTAATACATGAGAATAAGACCCACGCACAAGTGGGGAGATTTGAACTACTGACCTCCTAGTGTGGTGTAGAAGTTCTAGCCAATCAGGCTAACTCCATTGGTTATACTTAACACTGTTTTGAGTTTAAGAAAATTATTTTAAAATGACATAAGTTTAGCTATTGAAAAGAAGAAGAAGAAGAAAAATAAGAGAGAAATTACAAAAAATAAAATAAAATAAATCTTAAAGTTTGACCCTTATAACAAAATAAACCCTGAGTTTTTAATTTGTCAATTTATAGTCTAATCTTTTGTTTGATTTTTAATCTAAACCATAAGCTTATTTGCGTTAGGTAAAACTGATGTAAAAGTGATATTTTAGTCATTAAATTTAATCTAGGATTTTACGGTATGGAGGGGTGGTTTCTGGTCTAGATCAATTTTTCAAATCTAATGACAAGGGAAGGATCTTTGTTATGGGATTCATGATGAAGAAATGAGGTTCGTGATGGGTTAGGGTTTCACATAAAGGGAAAGGTTCTGCTACAAATAAGAAGAAGAAGAAAAAGAGGTAGGTGGCGGATGGAGAAAGAGTGACGAGATTGTGAAAGAAGCAATGGAGAGAGGCCAACGGGGTTGCAGAGGTGGTTGCGGGGAGGGGCGATAGGAAAAAAAAAAGAGAGAGATTACAAGTGGTAGAGAGGGGGCACTAAAGATGGCTTCAGTGGCAGAAATGGGCCTAACGGCAAGTAAGATGAGGTAAATATGAAATTAATTGAGGTGTTCAACATAAAAGATAAAAATTTAAATTTTAAATTGAGATGCTTAAAGAAATGAAGTGTTCAACCAAATTAATGAGGTGCGTTTAGAGCCACCGACATAAAATCTCTAAAATAACATTTAGATAGAGTTTAATAATTAAAATATTATTTTTCTGTTAATTTTACTTTAAAAAAAACTCAAAGTTTAATTGATAAAATTAAAATTTTAAAATTTATTTTATTATGAAGGTCAAATTTTATTTTTTTTTAATATAAATTCTCAAAAAAATACTAAAAAATAAAAAATTACATTTTGCAATTGACGAACTCCTAAACGGGGACACCACTTTCTTTCCCTCTTTCTCTCGCTCGAAAAACTAGGACACCACCTCTTACGAACCAAACAACAGCCCAATAATGGTCTCTTTCAGAACTCTATTCGTTCAGTCCCTTCGCTTCAATGCCTTCACAAGACCTCTCATCGCCTCTTCCGAACACCAGGTTACTCTCTCTCTCTCTGTCTCTCTCTGCTTTCTCTCTTTAATTTTTTATGGGTATGGTTTTGACCTGTGTTAGTATTGTGAGTATTTTAGTTTAATTTTCATCGGCTGATAGTATTTTTGCTTTGCCAGAGTGGAAGAAAACCTGCAATTACTTGGGTTGGAACTCAAAGCCGTTTTGTTTCATCTGCAGGTAATAAAAAAAAGTATATATATGTATATATATATGTCTTTTGCACTATTCATGGACTAGGAATTGTAAATGTTTGGGAATTGAGGAGATTTGTACATTATTGTTTAATCCGTTCTGAGGGGCATGGTTCTTTCATTAGTTGTTTACTGATTTGAATCCTTTCAACTTGTTGAAATGGGATTAATTTTTGGGTAATTCTATTTGCTCACCATACAAACTCTCACTGCACACCACAAATAGTATTCGGATATAAATTTATGAACATAAAGCAGTTGTTTCGATATAAACAATTGAACGGAATGTATATTTGAACAATTTATTTTTGTTCACAACTTTAAATCTGAACATTTGACTTTTGTTCGGAAGTTTATATCCGAACACCATTTGTGGTTTTATCGAGAGTTTGTAGGGTTTGAAAATAGAATATCTCTTAACTTGTTGGCCAAATTATACTTTACCCCCTCCACTATAAGTTGTTATCAACTAAACATTGTTACATTTTACCTCTTGATCTTTTCATTTGTTTGAATCTCAACCTTTTTGTTAACATTCTTTTATGAAAGAGGACGAAAAAATGACATGAGAGCTGCCCGTACCAATTTTATGACAAAAGTACTAATTCAAAAGCTAATTTATTTACATATATGTGAGAGATACGTATATATCTTGCCCTAACATATGAAGAAATATGTGAGAGAAAATAAATGCACATGCCAACTTTAGGACTAGATTGGACCCCCCTCTCCTATGAAGAAATATGTGAAAGAAAATATGTGCACATGCCAATTTTATGACCAGATGGGAGATCTCTCACATATATGTTTATAAACCTCCATTGAATGAACATTTTTGTCATAAAATTAGCGCACACAACTCATTGCCACGTTTTCACTATTTCTTCATAGCAAAATGTTAATTGAAGGTTGAGATTGTAACAAATTAGAAGATTAGGGGCAAAATGTAGCAATTTGTAGTTGAAAGTGGTAAGGGGACAACAACATCCCACAGTGAAGGGGGTAAAATGTAATTTGCCCTAATTTTTTAAATCCTCCCCATTTGGAAAGCTTGCTTGATATCTTTTATATTAAGATAGATTTGTAGTTGTATGATCTGTTAATTATTGAAGTAGTGGACCATCAAGCCATTGCATGATTATTATCAATCATCCTTTTAATGTTTCATTTGTTCAAACATGTAACTCGTGCCAAAAGGTTGGTGATGGAAGTAAGAACTGTAAGGGAGAAAGTAGAGAATTATTCTCATGATGAATGATTAGTGTTTGAAAGCTGAAATGCATGAAGGAGAAGCAAATGTTACGTTAATATAATAATGATTTTTTCTCATATAGAGTTTAGTATATCTCTTAGGTAAAGTGATACAAGCAGATTCTGGTGTAAGATTTAGAGATCTGTGATACAAGTTTTGCTCTTATCAAATGTTATATTTGTTAATAACACTCTGCAAGACTTTGGTCAACTGGGTTCATCCTTGGTCTTTTATTTATTTTTTTGATAAATAAACAAACTTTAATGGTGATTTGATTTAATTCACCAATTTAATATCTGTATTGTTTCTAGCTGAGGTTTCAGAATTTGAAAGTGATGAACTTCATGATGATGTTGGAGGAATTGAAAAAGATGCTGCACTACGTCTGGCTCTCTCAAGGCTTGCAAGTGATTTTGGCCGAGAGTCTATGTTGTCTTTGAAGCGTTTCTTTCGTTCAAGACATTTACCTGTGATATCTACAGGCTCATTGAAGCTTGATCTAGCTCTTGGGATTGGAGGATTACCAAAGGTGACTTCCTGAAAAAGAGATACTTCTGCCACATTTTCTGTATGTCAATGCCAACATACTGCAAATATGGAGTGGTAGTAAAGGCATAATAAAGGCAAAATTTCCATGCAGAAGAATGTAGAATGACTTGGTAAAAAAATTAGGGTCTGCTCATTTGAAGTAAATTAGTGCATCTTCTTGTTGCGGTCCATGTTGATAATAAAATCATTAGGTCATCGACCTGTAGCTGTTGGTATGGATTGTTTGGCCATTGGAATTGGATAGATACTTTCAGCCAATTTTGTAGAATTAGATACTAGCAGTCTAATTGTTTAGTTATTATAAAGCTATCCATTCTGCACTATTATTTATGTATACGCACATTTAGCAGCCAGTCCTGCTATGAATTACATTTTGTTTGTTTCTGGATGGTTTACAGTATTTCCGTTTTGTGTTACTGAATATAGTTTTGACCTTATTCAACTAGTTCTATAGAGCTACTAATATAGCTTTAACGTTACTTTACTAGTTTTATATAGCTACTAGTTTTAAGGTTTTGTGTGCTGTAATGTCATCTTCAATATTCAATTTGTGGTTTCCTAATGCCATAGTGCATTATTAATTTCTTGATATTCTACTGTGATTCACCGAAAATTGGTTTATTGGGACGATAGATTCAATCTAAATATGTGATGATAGGATTTTGTGGATGCTACTCTCTAATCTCATGCAATTTGTGATTTTGTTTATGTGATTTGTTAATTTTAATAGTTGTCTATATCTTTTACTTATCACCCAAAAAAAAAAAAAAAAAGGCTGTCTGCATCTTCAGAAGTTGGCAAGTATTTTGAGTTTGAGTGGTTGGGAGTATTTTTAGCAATTTTACAATTTGCTGGGCATGGGCTATAGAAGTTGCATGAGGGTTTTCAGTTCTAATTAGTGAAAAAATTTTAGATTCTTATTTGTGGGTCAAATTCATTTTAGGGTAGGAGAAGTTGTGTAGCCTAGAGGTACATATGTAATCTTTCTCTTCAGTAGAGAGTTGATTTATGAGAATTTGTACAAATTTATTTGTTTCTTATTTGTGAGTCAAATTCATTGTAGGTAGCTTTGAAACACATTGTAAAATTGGATGTATTATTGATTGATATATTGATTGATTTATTACAAGATTGATTAATTACAATTCCTATACAATCTATATATAGAAGAAAATGTGGTAGTAGGTGTAGTGGAGGTGATAGTGGGTTAGGTGAAGTGGAGTGTGTGGTGAAGTGGAGGTAGGTGAAGTGAAAGATGGGAAATTCTAACACACATGTAATCTTGCTCTTCAATCAGGGGTTGAGAATTTGATATTGTGTTTGTATGAGTCTACCTAAACCTTGCGAGAGTGAAAAATAATTTTTCCCTCTTCTCATCCTCTTCTTCTTCATTATCTTCTTTTTCTGATTTCTTGTGCAAAGTATCCAATACTCTTCTCAGATTACAGTTTATAGTCCCCAAAAGTGCACTTTTTAGCTCTAAAACCATACCCAATCACACACAAATCGACCCTAACCTCTTCCCCTACATATTGGCCTTTAATTTAACCATTGCTCATCTTGACTCTTTTTGCAATTTCAGCCTAAAAGTTTTATTTATTTTTTTATTTATTTTATTTATTTTATATTTTTTTACAAGTAGTATTAGACAAAAAAGTTTAATGCTATATATTGTAGAAAGCAATTAGAGCTTCTGAGAATATCATTTATGTTCTGGTTGCTTCTTTGTGATTGTTAAGTTGAATTCATGTCCTCTTTTTGTTATCATTGCTAGTTTTATATCTGCATGCATTCAATTAAGTTTCAAATGCAAAGAAATAAATAATTTGTCCTCAATATGCAGGGAAGGATAGTAGAAATTTATGGGCAAGAAGCATCAGGCAAGACAACACTTGCCCTTCATATCATCAAGGAAGCTCAAAAGTTTCGAGGTGCATTGCATATTACTCTTAGTTTTTGATCTATTTGAAATTAGAATATTTTGGAGACCTTTGTTGTGAGTTATCTGGAAAAGGAGGCTACTATTTAATTCATGATTGTCAAAACCTTATTTATTAAAAAAATAAATAAAAATTATGATTATCAAAACCATGGTTAGCTACTCCACATAACTGTTATTCTAAACTTATTTAATTATTATACTTGAACAATTTCATATCATTTTCTTGAGGGCTGGGACCTACGGTTTTTTGATTACTTACATACTAATGAACCCTAAAGAACATATGCTGCCATTTGCATGTGTGAGAAAACTTTGTTCTTGGAAATAGGAAGCCCTAAGCTTATAGCATCAAGGATTAGAATTTGCCGATTACGATTTGTATTTGGAGTATCGTCTTTTTGTGGTGTCATGCCTAAATTGCTCTCAAATATATATGCATGGGCTAAAATGGAATGGCAGATGTAGAAAAAGGCAGTTAAGCATTGTGCCTATCCCTTCATGCAAGGGGCATGTTTTTAGGTCTTCTAGAGCACCTTTCAAATATTCTGGGCAGAACAATGTTTTTGACTGAGGGTAATAGAAAGATTTTAGGTTGAACATTGAATGTTGCCAATATCAAAGGAATAGATGATGGTAAACTACCATGAATTTTTGAATAGATGGTGGTAAACTATCATGAATTTTTGCTGCCAAGGACAATTTTAGCTTTTGTGATCCATTGATCCTAGGAAGGCACTCTTTTCAAATTCTGGGGACTGTGGTTACTTGTATCATTATCAAAATAATCTTATAAACATAGATCCAGAGGAGTGTCTCACTAGTCTGAAAATGTTTTCTGCTTATCATGCAAGCCAATTTCACCATGGTGTTCAACTTTAGCGTAGCAACTAAGATGTCTGGTTGTGAGTGAGAAAAAACATTGATAAGATACATTGGCAATCCAAAAATATGGATACATTTTTTTCTGTATTGAAATTATATGTCAGTTGTATTGTTTGAAATAAATATCTAATATCTATATTAAATTATGTAAATTTTGCATGAAATTTTGTGAGTATATTGTAGGGATGCTAATGTATAATCTAGAGTCAAAATGTTGCAAATAAAAAGCTAGATATCTGTAATCTGCACAAAAGAAGAAACGAAGAAATGACTGTCCTCTTTTAGCCAAAAAAAGTAGAGAAAGGATGAGATTCTTTCAGACTACACGAGGGAAGTAGAACATCTGCAGAAGTTCTCTTGTTACATTATTGCCAAATAGTCCAAAGAAGACACATTGCCGTAGTCTGCCAAAACTTCCTTTCCGACTTCTTTGTAGCAAGATCTCCAACTTTCTAGAAACTCTCCCAACAATAACTAAAATATCCTAGTACTTGATTATATGTCAACATTAATCAAGGTTTAAATATGAATATACTTAAATAGTACCATGTCAAATTTAGTGTTGGAGTTATATCATCACAACAAAGAGCTATGCCCTTTTCTTCTATTGGGTGGTTTATCAATTTTGTCATGGTACTTTGACATGGCTTGAAATTATTTTTGTTTTTAAATCATCATATTTGGCTTCTACTTTGCACTTTGAAATGTGTGGTTTTGGTTTTGCGTAGTGAACTCATGGTGACTGTTCCAGGCAATTTTTATGCTTTTGAGTGGCATGCCTCTGGTGATGCTCTGATTAACTTCTTGTTTAACCCATTTGTCCTACATTTGTTGTGGATGTCTTTAATAGTGCATGCTGATGAAATTTTTCTTTTTGCTTTCTTCATCATGAATTCATGTAAGTTATGCGAAGCCTGCTTTTGAGAATCTTGTAAATAACTCATAGCATAATTTTCCATGGCTAACGTGTGCTGTGCAAGTTTGGTTTGACAAAAGACTAAGGGGAAAATGTTTGAATTCATTCAACAGTGTAGGCAAAGTGAAAAAATACCAAAAGCAGACATGTCTCTGCTTCAGAATGCATGCATCCAATTGGAAACAATAAAAGTATCTTTTAAGTACTTATGTTAGTTTTCTTTTATTGGTTTGTTAGGCTTTTTTGTTTTTGATATGAAAATTCATTTGGCTTTTCTTTCAGTGTTGTTGTGGCTTTGAGTATGCATTTGTATAATTTTTTGTATTATGTACAGTATTTGGGAAAGATGAAAAGGGTGGTTGTTCCCAAACATGACTGTCTGAACTTAGTGGAGGCTGAACTTAGGAAGTTCCTTTTTACCTGAAGGCATTGTATAGGTGGGCCGCTTGTCGGCCAAACAAGACCTTGCTTCACAAGACTGGAGTATGGACAGAAAAGGCTGCTTGATTGGCATAGGCACACTGTTATTCATGATTGTATTTGGCCCCTTGATGTTATCAATCAAATTTTTCCAGGTTTCTTTTGGTGAATATATATATATAATATACACACGCAAATGAATTCCTTTACACAACAAATTGGATATTATTATTTTCTGCTTCAAAACATTAAAGTAGATCATATACATTTGAGTTTTGAACTACGAGGTTCATTCAGTTGCATTGATATAGTGTGAAAAATTGGAAATTGTACAATAATAGGAAAATTATGAATGTTACCAATAGTACTCTAAAATAGCCAAATATCAGCATGTATAAAAGTACAAAATATTAAGATACCCAAAGAATACAGGGCCTGCTTGATTGACAGGAACAGAGGATTGGGGGATTACATATACTGGGGGAGCCACATGCTTTTTCGTGTTTCTTAATCCAATTTTTTGTTTTGGCCTTTGATTGGGATTGATGATCCAATGGTATTGCTAATCCCACAAAATGGTGGGTTTACCAGTACCACACTCCCCGAGGTATTGGTAGTCCCATGTCATGATATTAATTACATCGCTCCATCTAATGGTAAAAGACATACATTATTCGTATTGCATGCTATGTCCCACCCTAATTAAACATAGTACAAGTACTCCCATGGTTTATATAATCTCATCCAATATTTTATTTATTATGAATCCCGTCATCCCATGGTATTATCAATTCCCATCCCTAAGGTGTGAGGATGCAGTACTGCATCTTTTCCCCATCCCACAAAAATCATATCAAACATCCCGTAAGGTGTGAGGATACATTACTGCTTCTTTTGATTCCAGCTTCCAGCTTTTGTTTGGAAAATTCACAACATACTTTCAAGTGACTTCAGATTTTTGGCATCGTCTGTCTTGCATGATTGATATCCCTTAGGTGGTACCGGGCATGTGTGTGAGCACGATTCGAGTTTTTTTTTTTTTTTTTAAAAAAAAATTTCAGTGCATGTCAGCAAGGGCTTTTTAGTCTTTTTGCCCCTCTATGTATTCTGACTTTCTTCATGCTTAATTGATTAGTGAATAGCATTAATTTTTTTTTTTTTAATAACTTTATGCATTGTTTTGGGTTATATATGGATGTAAAGGAACGCGAGGATCTTTGAAGACAAATTTGATAATATAGCATCTTTGTGGGATAGAGTGTTGTGGGCCTCTGCTTCGACTTCATTTAGATGGACCCCTATTTTTTCGATTTCTAGAGATTGGAGAGCTATCTGTGATGTATAAGTTTACTTTCTTTGTATTGATTAGAGCTGTCTAGTTTTGTTTGATGAGGACTCCTTGTTTTCACTTCATACTTCTTTTCATCTTTAATAAAAAAAAATTTGTTGTTGATAAATAAATAAATAAAAGTCTAAGAATTAGATTTTTCCGAACTTAGAAGTAGATGATAGATGTCAGATTCTGGTTGTCTTGAATGGACTTTTTCTCTACTGAAAGAGGCAACAAAAAAAGGAGTTTCAAGTTCTTTTTATCTGTTTGAATTTGACTCTGAAACATTTCTATAATAATTTCATTAATGCTGTAAGTATTAGAACTAATTTTTTGTTGGAAAGTTCCTAATAAAAGTAGTCAGTTTTGGACATATATAATCTTGATTGTGATGTAAGTAAGTTCGATTCCAGAGATGCAGTACCTGCTGAAAATACGTGTTGTGAGAACCATGTCTTGTCATATGAAATATTCCTTGAGTTTCAAGTGTTTTTTTTGTCTTTCTTGGAGTGTATGCCTATCATTTCAGGTAGCTTAATTGTCATATGTGAACACGGAATTGTCTTTCTTGTAGGTTATTGTGCATATCTTGACGTGGAGAATGCGATGGACCCTTCCCTTGCAGAAGCAATAGGTGTAAACACAGAAAACCTCCTTATTTCTCAACCAGATTCTGCTGAAAATTTGTTGTGCATGGTTGATACACTGACCAAAAGTGGATCAATAGATGTAATTGTGGTTGATAGTGTGAGCTCTCTCTCTCCCCCTCTCTTCCATTTTATGTGTTTTTGAACTTTTTACTCCAGCACACAAATATGTCTCTATATTATTCTTGCCATCTTATCCTTGAACAACTTTTGATGCTTATCTAATGCAGCCATGATTTGTGGTGTATGTTTTAGGAAAATTTTCATATTTTTGGTTATTTTCCTATATTACTTGATTTCAACAATACTAAATGCTACTGTCAAGCCAAAAGTTGAGTCAATTTAGGATTAGTTTTACTTGTTAATATTTTATTTTTCTTTTAATCATTCCTAGGGTTATTAGGATTAGATCTTTCTCTTATTAATAAATATAATTGTGAGCCTTTCGACTAAAGGGAGTTTTTGCTGAATAATAATACAGAGAGGTTCTACGCCACTCTCTTTGGTGTTATGCAAAATCATCAAAGACACCTTATATTTAATATTTTTTAGTACTTTAAAAAATATTTAATTTATTTACTAAATATAAAAATTTGAAATTTGAAATGCTTACGCCTTGATGCGTTAAGGCTTACGCCTTGCCTCATGAGGGGAATGCATCACATTACACGTTCGCCTTTAAAAACTTCATCCACTGGCATTTTTACCCTGCTATATACTTCTGGTCTTTGATGGTGGGGCAAACCCTGATTCTTGACAGTCTCATTTCAAAAGTTTGCAAACTTTCTGTATGATAGTAAACCATGTTGCAACCAATGTATTGATCATACTACTATAAACTTTTCTATTTTGACAATGATGTGAAGTGTGAACTCATATCTGAACAAAACAAACTGTGACAAATTATCAATGCCAATTGGATGTTCGACAAGATAACATGCCTCTATTTTTCGAGTTCGGATTTGCTGAAGTTGAAGATCTCAACTTCATAGGCGAAGTTGGCACGTTGTGAGATTAATCTGTATTTATGTCAATGATCTAAACTATATGTCTCATATGACAAGCTAAAAAGAATAGGCATGCCAAAAATTGGGTTGATCAAATATGACTAATAATATGATCAAATAACATATATATTATAACAAATGAACGGTTTATTCTTAAAAACATGTAAACTGTATAGATAAAAATGATCTAATAGTATGACAATCGATATTGGATCAACTTGATTTTTTAGATAGATAATTTTCTCTGTTAGCTGTATAAGATGAACAGTTTAGATTACCAAAGAGAGTCCAAGTTAGTCCGATAATGGATCAACTTCACCGTGAAGTTGAGATCTTCAACTTTAACAAATCCAGATTTCTATTTTTCCACTTGGCAAAAGAAGAGAGTTGCAAACTTAGTTTGTGTATAAACAAGCTACCTTTTCATACGGAAAGAAATCATATAATTGAAGTATAGAAGATGTCTGAGAAATGATTTTTTCCTTCATATTATATTATCCGTAACTTGCTTCAGAAAAGGAATATATATATATAGATTTTTTTAATTTTAGAATATCTCCAGCCAATCTCATATGCTTCAGTGTGATGGACTGTTGACTAACATAATGTTATAATGCTTCCGTAATTTTTAATTTATTAATGATGATTTTGTAAGATTTATAGTTCTTCTAGATGGGAAATGCTTACACCATGTGGTTTTGTTAAATAAAATGATGTATTATTGATTGATATCTGATTGTTGTATTCATTACAATGATTCATGATTCCTATATATAGAAGAGGGTGAGTGTGTAGCAGGTAAGGAGTAGGTGAAGTGGAGGTGGTAGTGGTGTAGTGGGTTAGGTTTAGTGGAGTAGGTGAGGTGGTAGTGGTGTAGTGGGTTAGGTTTAGTGGAGTAGGTTTAAGTGGGTGAAGTAGGTGGAGAGTAGGTGGATTTTAACAGGTTTGTTATACAGCTTTTAAGGTTTGTGCATTTTGATGTATTTCAACTCTATTCCTCAAGCACCCCCATCTTTTCTTGTTGGTAACTCCATCGTTTTGATAGGATTTGAATCTTATCGATTCTTATTGACTTGGCATTGTATTCTTTATAAATGATATTGCAGCCTGTCTTGCTTTTAATTAATGAATTGACACCATAATCACTAAAAAAGTGAACAATTTACGTCTTGTTCACCATGACTTATTTTCCTTCCTCCAAGAGTCATTGTTTTCGTGCTTTTCATCCTGTTTACCATGTGTTAATTTTGCGTTGCAGGTGGCTGCTCTTGTTCCCCAGTGTGAACTTGATGTTCTTGTGGGTGGCACTTACAAGGATGTACAATCACAAATAATGACCCAAGCATTACGAAAAATTCATTATTCATTATGCCAGTCTCAGACTCTAATTGTATTTGTTAATCAGGTTGAACTTAGTTACCGGAAGTCATTGATTCTTTTAATGATTATAAATCAGATTGCAGAGCCGCTGATATTTAATTTTGGGTTATTGGCTCATTGCTCACATCTAGGTGAGATCAAAAGTAAGATCGGTGAAGGGCTTTGGACATGCGGATGAGGTAACTTGTGGTGGAAATGCCTTGCAATTCTATGCAGCTATACGGATGAAAATTCAGAGAAAAGGATTGCTCAAGACTGAAGATAAGGTAAAACTTTTACAAATATTGCATTTATGTGCATGAACAAGTTCCCAAGGTTCTAGTGATGAATCTAACCTCTCTTAATGCTTGGTTCTGTTAAGTTTCTCTATCAACCAATTCAGTTCCAGTTTTTTGCAATAGATTATTCTATGGAAGACAAACCAACAGTCTCTGTTCCTGTTCTTTTTTTTTTCCCCCCTCTCTCTCAAAGAGCGGGGAGGGAAAATAGTAGTTTCCTTTGGATCAGTTGCATCTTTGCTATCAGGTTTTGGCTTGTTCCTTGAAAATATTTGTCCTGTTTTTGTTAGTCTCTTTTTGGTTCATAATTTACCGCTCCCTAATCAAAGGAAAAATACGACATTCATGGAATTTTGCCTAACTGTATAGTCCTTCATGGCGCAAAAAAACTGATTAAAGGAAAACATAACTGCTAAAAGAGAAAAAAAAGAAAAAAAAAGAAAGAAGAAGAAGCTGCTAAAAGAGAATGATTTTGAAGCAAGTTCTTAAGAGGAAAACTTTCTAATTATGGTAGAGATGGCATCAAAGTTCAACCAGAGATGGCTTGATATCATAAGAGTTAATCCTAAATTTGACGTGTGATTAAATTTTTGTAGAACAGAAGTTCATTGTGCTTCCATTTTTGTTCAGCTATTGAAGTCTTGGTTTTGTCTGTTGTGTAGGTCACTGGCCTCGGGATTTGTGTGCACGTGATGAAAAACAAACTAGCACCTCCAATGAAAAAGGCTGAACTGGGGATAAAGTTCGGGAGAGGCATTTGCTGCGAGTCCGAGGTCTTGGAATTGGCGTGTGATCATGGAATCATTATGAAAGAAGGAAACAACTTCTTCATAGAAGGGGAAGTTTTGAAAAATAAACAGGAAGCTGAACGCTATCTGGCCGAAAACGATGGGGTTCTGGACAAGATAGTGAATTCTGTAAGAAGTCAGTTATTTGGGGAAGGAGCATAATCATGGAAGATCGTACCAAAAATTGTTCGCAAATCTTGGCAAATGAAAGCTGCACTTATTCCAGCACTAAGTATGTGAACTGACCCTTGATCAGTGCATGAGAATTTGTGCAGTGGACTTCAATATTTGAAGTTTGTTAGTTGCTCAGTCATCTGCTCCTCCATCGCCGAACTCCAAATGGTGTTTGATGTCAATGAATTGCAAAGGAGGTACGTCTCTGCTTGTGTTATTGCATCTCTGGTTTACTCTTCTTACAAATTAATCTGGAGTCTCTGGATTAATCTCACCCAGAAAAGGAAATGTATTGATCTCTGCTAAAATGCCTCATCATTGTAAAAATGTTATTTTCTATGTATTATGATGTAACAACACACTGTAAACCCCATTGCCAGGCAGACTAAAGCTACCCCAAATTAGAGCTAATGCCCATTATGGAATTGATGATGTTATGACTGATGAATTTTTTTTCCTTTTGCTTATTTTATTTGTTCTATGTTGTGATGTGCAGTATGGTAGGGCTTTATGGGAACATGGATAATAATAATAATAATAATAACAAATAATAATACCGCCTCAATGGCGGCTTATGGGAACAGGGATAGTTGTCACAAGAAAAATGATTTACAGTACTAAAAGTGGTGTTCTAATAGCACCACGAATGATGTGACAGTGGGCCTTGCTGACTCCCTATGCCTTGTTTTTCTTTTCTTTTTTTCTTTTTTTTTGACATTCCCAATGTATTAGTGTTATTAGAGATCTTTTTTTTAGTGATATGAATCATTGTTGGTTGTCACAAATGGACTTGGCTGCTGATTATTCATTTTTTTATTTTTTATTTTTTATTATTTTAAATCTAGGGTATCTCCCACCCAACTAGCCCAATTGGACTCAAGTTGTCTTGTATTTGGACTGTCAAGAACTAATCTCCACAGGTCTTAAAGTTGACAATTAGGCAAATTTCTTGTGGTCTTTTGAAAAATTCAAACTTGAGATTTTGGATTTTATTATCAAATTTTTACCGTTTTGTCAACTCTTTGGGTGGCAGGGTCCCTTGTTGAGATCTTTCGCTATAATTGTGGGATAAGTGGTCATTGGCCTCGTTTGAAAAGTTGACTATTTTATAATTTTTCGTCATTTTACTAAGCTTAAATTGGAAAGGTAGTTGAATTTTTTTTTTTAGTCGGATGTAATGTTTGTAAGAGAAATGATTATAGATTTGGTATGACATTTTGTTTTATTAACTATTTTAACTTATTTTATCTTTTTATGAATTTTAGTTGTCAAAAAAAAAAAAAAAAAAAAAAAAACAACCCACTTGTCTGTGGTCTTAATTGCTTTGGCTGAATGTTTATGATGCCCACCAACCTCTTACAAAATTTTCCGCAAAATTACATATTGTTTGCTTTTCTTTTGAGTTTTTTAATTTTTTATTTAAGGAAACTGCTTTCATATTGCAGTCATCTTTTTCTAAAACTTGTTAAATGAAATATTTTTTTAGAAAAAAAAAAAAAAACAAAAAAAGCACGCTTGCACATTTATGTGTCTTCTAATTTTTTTTTTAGTAAGAACGTGTGCCTTTTAGGCACCTAATTGGTTTGGTGCATTACATTCAAAAGAGAAGAAAATGACTAATTTAAGTAAAGAAAATTGGTACACAAGTAAATTGAACTTTTATACAAAACCCTCATTTAAAATGACGTGGTAATAGTAAATTGAAATTATGACCTATTTGAATTTGAAAAGAAAGAATTACAAAAGGCGAAATCATTCTATAAAAATTGCATTAAAAAAACTACGTTTATAATCCTAAGCCTTTTTGTCACCAAGTTTTATATAATTTAACTAGTGATAAAGTCACAAACTTTTACGATGACATTTATATAAAAAATGCATTAAAAAAAAAATGTGTTTATAATCCCAAGTCTTTTCGTCACAAAGTTTTTATATAATTTAGTTAGTGATAAAGTCACAAACTTGTATTTTAAAAATAAAAAAAAAAACTTATAAAGTTGATGACTTTTAATAAATTATAAATACATGATTTTATTTTTTTGATAAATTATAAATATACCGCCTGAGGTTTGCTTAATATATAAATTGCACCATGTGATTTTAAAAATTAAAAATATTCTCTTGTCAGAATTTTTTATTTAAAGAAATTAACAGAAAAAGTGAAATCTAACTGTTCTCCTATACAATTATAAAATTACTTGAATTATTATTTGGAATATATTTTTGACATCATTAAAATTTGTTAATTGACTTGATGATATTTATTAATAAAATATGTCATTTGTTATGTAATTAGAAACTTGAAGTGGCATTTTATAATTTCTAAAATCATAAGGGATAATTCTTATTTTAAGCAAATCTTAAATAATATATTTGTAATTTAATTTATGAAATATATTAATATAATGTGACAATAATTATAGAGTCAATAGTATAATTTATTTCATAAATCTACACACAAATATAAAAAGATAAACAAAATAGATCGTCAGGATGAGATGCTCATGGACCGAACTAATTGGATCAGTCCACGAGAACCTACCTTACTCGAGTTTCAATTTTAGGACCTCTCATCAATTATTCCATAAAATAGGGCCATTCTATTTAAATTAAAAAATTATTTAAGTACGTTCAATTTAAGTTTAAAATTTTTAATTCTTATTATATTTTAATGCGAATTTATTAAGAAAGACAACACATATTAAATATTAAAATAGAATATTATTTTTTTCTCTTGGCACATCATAATCAATTATACGTATTCTTCTTATTCAAATATTTTCATCTTCTTTCTCAAGTTTAAATTATATTATCTTCTTCTTCTTCGTCATTCCAAAATTCTAATTCACCCCACCAAAACTCACCATTATCATTAAGATCATTATTTTTTATTATATTATTACTTGTAAGTAAAAGAAAGTTTGAAAAAAAATCAAACAATAGATGAGAGTAATAATCAAAATAATTTTTTGAACAATCCATCAAAGAAGATGCAAGTATTCACATAAATATTAAAGTACAATTATTGATTTTTATGTTTTTTTTTTTTTTTTGTAATACATAAAAGCAAATATTTAGCCTATTTTTTGTGATTATTGTTAGGACTTTTAGAACCGAACAAGTTCACTTTGTTTGATTTTGAAAGTGCAAACAATAATTATGAAAAACAAGTTGAATATTTGTCTTCCTCCTTCGCCGTTCTCCTTCTCCTTTGCCATCCTCCTTTGCCGGTATCGGCGACGCCGATACTAGATTTTATGATCATATTCCATATATGTTCGTGAACTTAAAAGAAAGGTTTTCTTTTCTTTAAAGTAATTTAAAATTTTTGATTTATTTTATTTGGGCGTACTTCAAATGGGTAATTTAGAAGAAAAAAAAATAGAGTGTATTAAGAATAAATTATAACCCTAAATAATTTAATATGATGTATTGAAAAATTAGGTTCACTTATACATTTTTTGAGTGTAAATATAATACCCCCATAAATATTTAAAAATTATAGTTAACATTTAAATATAAAAAACCATTACTTTTAAAATATGGAGAATTACTCATCAGTGATAGTGTACGGGAAAGAAATAAACCTTCTCGTATAATCCTGTTGATCAAGTCTGCGCTCCTCCGTACGACGTCGCTTTACTCCCTGAAAACACAAACGTGAACTAGCTGGCGGGTGTGTGCCGGATACCTCTCCGATGCCTAAATCAGAAAAATAGACCAATAGTCAAAAGCTCTGCGTCTTCGGGAATCAAAGTTGTGTTACCTCTCCATAGGTGATGTTGTGAGCTTTTATAGGTTCTGCGTGGCACAATCCTAGTAAGACTTTTACTCCTCCATGTAGAGTCCTCCTAGGAGTCATACTCCTGAAAGATAATGCTTATCCTTCAACACCTCCCTCATTGCTCAAACCAAGTGAGATGGTTTTACCATGGTCGGATTTCAATATAACTGAGGTAAGCATGGCCATGCTAAGCCGCAGAGTAGACCAAACTATGCCTAGTTTGGTCCTTCCTTTCACTGCTCTTACCTCGGTTTCCCCTGTACAAACCATGGTGTACTTAGACCGAGCTAACTAATAGCAAGGTTCTAACCGAGCTAACAATAATACACCATGACCGGGCTAACTCTGAGTGTGGCGACCGAGCTAACTGCAAAGTTCTCTTGAACCGGACTATCTTGAAGGCCATCTTGGGCCGGGCTAACTTCAAGGTCTTTATACTCAGCCCTTCTTATACTCAGCCCTTCTTACTGTGGCCCACAACGGCCTACTACTCAGCTCGGCCCAATTTAGATATAAATTTCTCTCTCAATTGCCCCTTAATTCCATCTGCGCAGCATGATAGGGATTACCCGTTTACTAGCCGAGCTAAAAAATCTTTTAGCATTCCAACCGAGCTAAAAACTCTTATTATTCCAACCGGACTAAATTCTTTAGTATTCTAACCGGGCTAGGTTAACATCGGGCTACTTAAATGTGCTCGGTCAAAACGTCTCTTCAATCGCAGCAACTGAATCGCTTCTTATCTCAAGGACACACGGCACACTCTAATTGGCCCAATACAGCTGTCACGCCGTCTTCATATCTCGCAAAATTTGAACAGTCCCGCTCTTTTTTGTCCTTCCTTCTACTCAAAACAAAACCCTTTTGTTTTTGGATCTTTCACTTCACTTGCACTATTCATCTTTTTCTCGTTGAGTCTTCATTTCTCTAAACACAGTGCTTGCATAAACTCATGTTCTTGCTGAGATTGCTTCCATCCCCAGTCCCTTTACCTCGAACTGGTATGTAACCCACAACTGTTTCCTTTCCGTTGATTTCTGTAATGACCCCAATATGCGTATAGAAAGTCATCCTTATTTAATTAGGGGTTAATGTGTTTTAATTCAACTATATCTATCGGAATTGAAAAATTATCTGCTGAGTTATGGCGACCTTTATTGTATCGGCTTGAAATTTGTTTTACCCTCCGCTAGAGCATGGGCTCATTTTTGACATTCTTAATAGTGTATTTGGAATGTTCTTACCTTATTTTAGGGTATTGTTTGAGGTGGTGGTATGATGGTAAAGTAAGATTGGACCAACGAATTTAATTCGAACAGTTAACCTACGATCAGCCGTCATTCATTTGTCCTTTTCTTTTTCCACACTTGGAATTTGAATGTGAGGTTAGAACCATTGGAAAGATTATTTCCAGGGCTTCGATTTGGACACAAGAATGACCTAGAACGGAGTTCCGATGAGAAAGTTATACCCGTTTGAAGTTTTCACATCTGTGTTGGAAGCAGAGCCGCACGTACGGGGAATAGCGCCACACGTGCGGTCGGTGCGGGACAGCAGCTCTAAAAACGGGATTTTTGGGCCATTTCTTGCAATTTCTTTTCCTCTCTTCTTCTCCCCTCTTCCATGTCCGAAACCCTAGCCCTAAATCCTTGAATTCCTTTACTTTGCTCATGATCC